AATTTGAAGTTGCCTGACGAAATGGTTTCGTCATTCGTCAGTGACGAATATTTCGTCATTCGTCACCCATCATTAACCTGGACTGATTAATATATGATCGAACACGGTTACGTGACCATTAAACAAGTTAGTTTTTTTTCAATCTGCTAATTATAATTGTTCTTTAGGGACAATGGTTTGTAGTGTTACCAAGATCTCCAAGTACATTTATTTCATTATGCGGTCACTGTAATTCATTTAGGGTTAGAAATTCCAAGTTAATCGTTTCTTTAACAATAAAGCCCACATAACAAATTAGTGACATATATGTTTTTTTACGCGAACCTAATGTTAATATATTAAGTCCTTACAATCATTTTTATTAATTCCAATTCCATTTTCATGCTTTCCTGAAACTTTTTCTCGTAATCATCTATCGCACGCTGTAATTCAGGTCCTCTATCTTTCACAGACTTATAATGTTCTATTAACTCATTATGAACCATCTGGCGATGAAGTAAGGCTTGTTGATATTGTGGCATAATTTGTTCCTGCTATTAACAAAAGATTGATATCAGAAATATCCATCACGTAAAAAAATAGTCAAATTTAGAGGAATAAACACATATGTATAAATGTAAATACCACTTGACTACCACCAATCAAAGATACAAATCTCGCCAAACCCTCTTTTTTTGGTTTAGCCTTTTCCCATTCCATTTGATGTTTCTTTTTCCATTGTTCTTCCCATTCCAGATAAAATTCTGGAACGTTTTTTCCTTTAAATTCTTCTACCACTGGACGAATATCTTGAACATCAGATAACAATAAACCAATGCCTATAATCCCAAAAAACTACCATTTAGATATGAATTAAGTATAAATTTAAAAATTCATAAACATGATGCAAAGCTCACCTTCAAGAAATGGAATGATATCAACTAGATAAGTATCATTAGGATCCCCTTTCCATGGCGGAACAGCGATCACATTTTCAGGTTGTAAAGAATAAGCATCAGGGTTAGAATCCATAACTATTATTTTAGATATATCTCGGTTTAATTTGGAAATGTCCTTTATTAATAATATTAAATTTCTTCAATATATAATATTCGTTAAACAATTGATAGGATAATTTAACTTTTTTTTTTTTTTATTGTTTTAAAAAAAAACAAACCTTTATAACCTTCCCGTCTACATATCGTGTGGATTCTCTAAAAAGTCTAAATGGAACCATGCCAAGTGGATCAAGCTTCGCGATTATTTGTTCTGCAACCTATTATAAATCAAAAATATAATCAAAAATATTGGCATCATAAACATAATTTATATATTATATATGTATATATTTAAATTTTTATTAAGCTAGATAATAACATACAAGAAAAAATAAATCATCTTACATAAGAAGGCTGGGAGGTGAATATGACAACTTCAAAAAGTTGTGAAGCTTCATATAAAAAATAATCAACGCCCGGCCGTTTTGCCGTTCTCCATCCGTGTTTTCTCTATAAAGTAATAAAATGAACAATGAGATCAATAAAATATATTGTTGTGAAATGTTTTAATAAAGTAATTTTAGACTTACATCCCATGAAGAATAAATAAGTGTTTGATCTAAATTGATTACTAGCGTTAATGGAGGAAGATTTGGTATTGTGTCTCTATCTGGTAACAATTTATCTGATAAAGGTTCTGTAAAAAACTAGAATTGCATAAATGAAAAGTTAAATCTAGTTATGAGTTAAGTTTATTATATAATATATATATATATATATATATATATATATTATTTTTAATATTCAAAATTTGATCTAAGCTTACATGCGCTATATCATTTATGCGTGCCTGCAGCCGCATATACCATGCTTTAAAGGCACTTAAATCTTTATACTAAATATTGATGTGACTATTATTAATAAATTACATGAATTATTTTGATAACAAAAATTATTACAAGATTAAACCTGATCTTCTCGATCACTTGTAAATGGTCTTCCTATAAATTTAATTAATTAATGTCAATTATAAATGCTATTTTATTTTTAAAAACATTAAAAATAAAATTTACTTACCCAAGTAAATAGTAAATATTGTACCAAATCCTGCACTTAAAATACTTAAACTTTTAAGAACTTTTTTTGTTTGAGGACTATAAGTATTAGGCGAAGTCTTTTTTGCGTAGTGACGAAAAGCGAAACCTAAGGGTGGAGAAAGACGATAGACGAAACCCTGACGAAATCCCAAATCCCTCGGATGAAAGACGAAATTTAAAATCGGAAATAAAGAAGGGCGAAACCTGACGAAACCTTTATGA